CTCTCTCTCTCTCTCTCATCCCGTTCCTGCCCCCGCTGGTCCCTCTTTTGCTCCTTGTGTTGCCCCTCCCCCCGTCCACTGCCCTGGTCTCCACCTCCCCGCATCCCCTCCGACTCATCCCGTTCGTCCCCACCGCCCTTTTGCTCCTCGTGTTGCCCCTCCCCCCATCTACTGCCCTGGTCCCCACATCCCCGCAACCCCTCACTCATCCCGTTCGTCCCCACCGCCCTTTCACGACGCAGAAAAACAACCGCGCGGGCCGTGGATCTACGTGCGCAAAAGACAAAAGATGGAAATGTATTTCTCCGCACTCTAGCGGTACATTCAGTCTCGTGAGTAGTGCAGCGGGGCCCTAAGTCCAAAACGAAACGACACGAGCTGGCCTACAAAACGACAAAAAAGGTAAGCTAGGTATTTCTCCGTACTCTAGCGGTAGATTCAGTTTTGTGAGCAGTGCAGCGAGGCCGTAAGTCCAAAACGAAACTATGCGAGCGGGCCCACAAAACGACAAAAAACGATAAGCAACGTATTTCTCCGCACTCCAGCGGTCGATTCAGTCTCGTGAGTACTGCAGCGAGGCCCTAAGTCCAAAACGAAACGACGTGAGCAAGCCCACAAAACGACAGAAAAAAATTAAAAAGTGTCCCGTGGACCCACCCCTTGACCCACACAACCTTTCCCAACACTGGCAAGCCGGTCTCCGTGGGAGCGTCACGCCAGACCCTTTGCACTCTTTAAGAGTGTTAAGGAAGAGGATGGCTCTTGAGGCATCTGCATCTAGCCGATTTCATCAGGATACGAACTCATGATCTGTTCATGAACAGTCATGTGATGTGTGTATAGCGTTCAACCACATGGGTTAGACACTCCTTGGGGGCGTGATTCCAAGGATTTCGTCTTCGTTCCACCTGTCCTCGGAGATGAAATCAGAAATGAAAATGTGAAAACACTCCGAGGACAAATCCTTGGGCTCCGAGGATTTCCCAGCCAAACCGTCCTCGGCTCCAAAGGACCTCGCAAGGTCCTTTGGGGCCCGAGGATCCATGTTTCACGGAGAGGAGAGGGCATGCACGTAGGGAGACATTACAACCGAGAATTCTGATCGTGGCGGCACCCTATTGGCTAAAAGCATGAAGCACAACTATTTTTATTTTTTTTTCCTTTTACTTTTCTGACATTGCTCCGAGGATGAGTCCTTTTTTTTTTCTTTTTTTTTTTTTTTTTTTTTTAAGAGAAACAGCCCGAACAGTCACTAGGGGTGCTGATAAAAGCAAACACCGCTAGCCCCGTCGGGAGGGCTCCATCTATTGGTGGGGAGCGGCACCTGCTGGAAAACGGGTCCAGCGTCCCTAAACATGAAATCATTTGACTATACATTCGTAATTTGTGGTGATTGATGGAGTATGTACTCGATCTAATCAGATGTATAGTGAAAAGCAGCATTGATTGCCCTTCTAAGAGGGGATTAACTGCTCTTCCATTCCGTACGTAATCCTTAGACACACAACTGCAATGACAGGAAAACCTAAACTAACCACCTCCCATCCTGATTGGAATTGCGGGTCGGGCAAGACCATTCACCACCAACTAACCCCCTCCCCTTCGCTGCCCTGCCAACTAACAGCACCGATCATTCCACTACAACCCCGATTAGTCGTCATATCATCCATATCATCCCAGCCATAGCCGTCGTTATCGTTATCATCAATATTATGTGTGTTGTTATTATCCGCATCTCCACCGCTCCCAACAGCATCGTTGTTGTTGTCAATCCCTTTGAGACCATGAACAGTGTGTTTGGTATTCTGGGACTGCTTGTTGTTGTTGTTGTTGTTGTTGATGATGTTGTCGTTCTATCGTCGTTGTTGTTACCATCGTCGTTGTTGTTGTTATTGTTGTCGTTGTCACTGTTGTTGTTGTTGTTGTCGTTGTCGTTGTTGTTGTTGTTGTTGTTGTTGTTGTCGTTGTCGTTGTTGTTGTTATTGTCGTTGTTGTCCTCGGAGCTTCCCTTCAAGTCGTCGTCCTTGTCGTCGTTGTCGCCCATCGCATCCCTCTCGCCACCTCTCCACCGCTTCTCCAGTTGATCGCATGATGTTGTCGTTGATATCGCCAGTGTTGATGTCGCCGCTGCTTCTGATGTGGAAAGCAGCATTGTAGGTACAGTTGTTGGTATTATTATTTCAACGGATGCAAGCCGATCTTCCAGCAGAAAGCGCAGATCACGACCCTTTGCACAAAGAGCCGTACAGGTATTCATCATGCTATCCGCCCGCCGCCAATCGATGTATGCGTTGAGCTGGGGATCCGGCCCCTCCTCCAGCTCCCACATAACCTCCAGGATGTCTTCGGCCGTGTCGTTCAGCCAGCCCGCCAGTGAGATTGCCCCCCCGTCGATCCCTGACTCTTCATTTGACCGCTCAGACAATTCCTCAACAAGCTCATATAGGCGCTTGCATCCTCTCTCCAAGATGATCAGCCATTCTTCCGCTCCACATTGCAGCTCCCCTTCGTTATCGTGTTGTATTAACCCCGCCGAGTCCATCGCGCCGCCAATCAAAATCAACAGTTTAGCCAGCACATCCCCTATACACGCGTCGTCATCCGTCCGACCAACCTCGCCTTTCACGACGCTCACTGCCACGTGTCGGGCGCGAGTATAGGCCCTGCTTCCCAAGGGAGAATGCCTCCCGAGATGGCAGGTCGAGCCAGGTGTCACCAGACCTTGCTGGTTGGGCTAGCGTAGGCTGCCCCGGGGTTCCAACCTCCTATTCGATGAGTCCTCCAGTACCTTTCCTAGACATTTCTCGAAGACGCGACAGTGCAAGCCCCACATTCTTCCGGGGTCGGCCTTCCAAGGCAAAATGGCTGGCAGCACCAGCCAAAAACCTGCAACCATTCTTTTTGGGGAAAACTACGATGGAGTCACAAAAATGAGTTATAATTGCACTATGGACCAACATACAGTTTTTTTTTTTTTTTTTTTTTTTTTTTTAGAAAGTTTGAGATACCGGGGCCATTACCCGGCTTTGGCTAAAGAAAAAATTGAGCTACTTAGAAAATTAGTACGGCAAACTTCAGAGATAGTCAAAGTTCATGAACGACTCAACCCCCCCCATCAATCCTTTATACCTCACTCCGGCAAGACTTACTGCAGCAGGGCCACCATCTCCGCTGCTGCTGTACCCTATTTCCATCCTATGAGTTAGCCCCCTCACTAGTAGGACGCTTGATATCCAACCATCTACTTCTCCCAATCACCTTTTTTTGAGAAAATTTTAAGAAGACCTCCCCCAGCCAGCATTGATTGCCTCGGAAACCAGGGGATTTACTGAGCAGGGATGCCCTTTTTTTGTGTGATGAAAGTTTCATGAAGACTATACTATAGTAAAAAAATCCTACTCCCAAATCCATGCAATCAGTCAGATGGGGAACGAACAACCCTTAGCCTCTTTCCCTCTTCTGGTGCGACTTATAACAACAACACCCCTTATACTGCCGCTGCACAATCCTAACATCATTCTTGTAGCAGACCTCTGGTTGGTGGGCCTGTGAGACCAGCCCCTTGGCTTGTTCTCACAGGCCTGTGTTTTATTTAGGGCAGTCCAGTCCAGGCCGGTTGCTCTGTCGGTACCAGCCAGTCCAGTCCAGTCTCGTCAGTCCGCCGAGGTATACCCCAGCCTTTGTCTGTTTTCGGGGCATTCTTCACTTGCACATTTTGGAGTACGTGCGTTGGAGTCTTGCGTGGGGAGCTGCGTTGTGCCATCTCGCTCCCCCCTTCTTCCTCCATCTTCATCTCTACCACTAGCGGAGCACCACACCTGGTGGGTCCGCTATATTGGTATCGGAGCGGGAACGGTCCCCCCTCACGCACGCGCCACGTGCCCACGCT